CAACATTTGTTAGTCAAAACGGGGCTCTTGATTCTTGCAAACGCCTCAGGAATCCTTGTTCCCAAAGGAAAATAAAGGGAACAAAACAAACCGTCATTTAAATTCCACCTTCCGTTTAGCCGCTGCTTTGCATCCGATGAAGGGATCCGCAGTTCCGGAAAGCCGAGGCCTTTGAATAAAACGTGCTGGTTGCGAAAATATGTTTTTTTTCCTGAATTGTGCGAAACCGTCCGGAAAAGCAACCAGGAGGTGAACAAAAAAAAATAGAATAATATAAACATACAGGAAGTCCTCGACTTATCACCACAAGTGAGATCGGAATTCTCTTTGCTCAAGCCAGGCGGTTGTTCAATGGGTTGCGCTAGATTTTTCTTGAATTTTTTCCCCCTGGCCACGGTCGTTAAGTGAATCACATGGCCGTTAAACGAATCGGACTTCCGCCATCAACTTTTGCCTGTCAGAAGCCGGCTGGCAAGATCGCCAATGGACATCACACACACACACACACACACACACACACACACACACACACTGGGATGCTGCCATTGTCATAAATGCATACGGGTTGCCGCGGGCCCCAATTTCGTTCCCGTGACGGTGAGGATGCTGCGACGGTCGTAAATGCGAGACAAGTCTTAGCTCGCTTTTCTTCAGCACTGTTGTAAGGTAGAGCCGTCGCAAAATGAACCGTCGGAAACCAAGGACCGCACGGATGTCCTTGACTTACCACAGTTCATTTAGTGACCATTCAAAGTTAGGACGGCACTGAAAAAAAGAGCCGTTTTTCACATTTAACGACCATTGTAGCATCTCCAGGGTCACGTGGCCAAAATTCGGACGTTTGGCAACTGACTCACATTTATGACGGTCGCAGTGTCCCTTGCCCCTTTTTGCAATCTTTTGACAAGCAAAATCAATGGGGGGAAGCCAGATTCAGTTAACGACTGTGTCACTAACTTAACAACTGCGACGATTTACTTAACAACCATGTCAAGAAAGGTCGTAAAATGAAGCAAAACTCATTGAACTCACGTCTCACTTAGCAACCAACCGGAATTTCGGCCCCCGTCGCGGTCGTGCGTCGAGGACACATTTAAGATCCTACGTTGTTTCCACCCTGTTTATGCCTCCGACGAACTTTTGGGTAAAAAGGTGTGATTAGGAAAGGAGACCACCAGGTGATTGCTGATTTGGGGGGCACCCAGAGGCTAACGCCACCATCCTCCCCCTGCAGTGTCTGCAATGGCCGTGGATTCTCTTTGAGTGGAAAGAATGGGACCCCCGCGAGGCCGTGTGCAAAGGTTTGGGTGTGTCCTGTTACCACAAAACACACAACATTTGTTAGGAAAAGAAGGCAGCAGCTTGGAGCGATTCTCCCTGGGCAGCCAGCCAGCCATTGCTAATTATGGCACACACATACAACACACACACACACACACACACACACACACACACACACACACACACGTTTTCCCACCTTCTGGTGATGAGTCATGCTCCCCCCCCACTTCCTCGTGACTCACGTGACACAGCTGAGGAAAGGGTGTGCAAGAGAGTTGTGGCAACCACAGGAAAGTTTTGCTGAAGATTGTGACTTTTGTGTGCCTCCGAGACTCCGGAGGACCGTGGTCCATACAGGCGGTCCTCAGCTTCACAACAGCGGTCCGTTTAGTGACTGCTCAAAGTTATGACGGCCCTGAAAAAGGGGACCGACAAACGTTTTTCCACAGTTAACAACCGTTGCAACTTCCCTCAGGGTCACGTGATCGAAATTCAGATGCTCAGCAACTGACTCGTATTTACGACGGTGGCCGCGTCCTGGGTTGTGTCTCTTCTTATAGGCGGTCCCCAATTTACAACTGCTCATTTAGGGACCGTTCAAAATGACAATGGCCCTGAAAAAAAGGACCGTTTTTCACACTTACGACCGTCGCAGGATTCCCCGGGGTCACGTGATCAGAATTTGGAGGCTCGGCAACTGGCATGTACTTAGGACGGTTGCTGTGTCCCTGGGGGGGGGGGTGTGTCACGTGATCCCCTTTCTTCAACCTTCCGACAAGCAAAGTCAAGGGGGGAAGCCAGATTCACTTAACGACCGGGTTACTAACTTATCCACTGCAGTGATTCGCTTAACAACGGAGGCAAGAAAGGTCGTAAAACATCTCGCTTCGCCACAGAAAGTTTGGGCTCGATTGTGGCCGTATGTCGAGGACCTGTACAAGTCCCAAATTTCCTTTGTTTGGTGAGACAGTTGTTAAGTGAGTTTTGCTCCATTTTACGACCTTCCTTGCCACAGAGAGAGAGAGAGAGAATGGCTGTATATATATATAGATATAGATACAGATATAGATAGATATAGATTTATTTATTATTATTGTTGTTTTTATTATTATTTTTATTATTTTTATTTATTATTATTATTCAAATTTTAAATCAATGCGTGGCTAACACACAGACCTGAGACATGTGGGCGGGTGTGTGTGTGTGTGCGTGTGCGAATGTATGTGTAAATGCACGCCTAGCGGATGAAAGATGCTTCGATTCTGTACTATTTATAAAGATCCACCTTAAAAATAGTGCATTTATTTTTAACAATGGCTGCTGGATTAAACTGAGGATGTCTTTTACGGAGCTGGTTAAGAGCTGGCAAGGGATCAAGCGACAGTGAATTGCTTCTCTTAGAGGCAGTCCTCGATTTACGACAGTTCATTTAGTGACCGTCCAGAGTTACAGCGGCACCGAAAAAAAGGGACCCCACACTGAAGGCCGTTGCAGCGTCCCGAGGGTCAGAATTCGGAGGCTCAGCAACTGACTCGTACTTATGACGGTTGCCGTGTCCCGGGGGTGTCACGTGATCCCCTTTGCCGACCTTCCGACAAGCAAAGTCAGTGAGGGAAGCCGGATTCACTTAACGACCATGATAATAACTTAAGAACTGTGGCGATTCACTTAACAACTTTGGCAAGGAAGGTCGTAAAAAAGGAGCAAAGCTCACTTGACACGTGTCTCACTTAGCGACGGAAATTTCCAGCCCAATTGTAGTCGTAAGTTGAGGACAGCCTGTATAGCGTTCGAATGTGGAGGGGGGGGCAGGGATAACATCAGGGACTCCCCCATTGCTGGAAAAGAGTGTAAAATTAAGACTGGACACCCCTTTGTCTGAAATGGTATAGGGTTTCCTGCCTGCGCAGGGGGTTGGACTAGATGACCTCCAAGATCCCTTCCAACTTTATTATTATTATTATGCGATTTAGGTATCCCCTGACTTACGACCATTCGTTTAGTGCCTGTTCAAAGTTACCAGGGCGCTGAAAAAAATGACAAACGATCGTTTTTCACACTTACGACCATTGCAGCCTCCCCTGTGGCCACGGGTTCAAAATTCAAACTCTCTGCAACCGACTCATGTTTACGACGGTCGCAAGCGTCCCTGGGCGGGGCGATCCCCTTTTGCGACCTTCTGACAAGCAAAGTCAATGGGGGGGAAGCCGGATTCGCTTAACGACCGGGTGACTAGCGTAACGACTGCACCGGTCGTAAAATGGGGCACCAAATCATTTCATAACCATCCCTTAGTCACTGTGGTCGTCAGTGGAGGACCACTGGCAGTTTTCTCCAAGGCGACCTCGGGATGAAACGGATCAATATGGATTTATTTTTATTTATAATGTGTAAATTTATGATGTATAAATAAATATTGATTTATTTTTCAAAGTTGGCCATTTTAAAACAGGTGGATTTCAACTCCCAGAACCCCGTGCCGGAGCATTCTGGGAGTTTTTTTTAAAAAAAGACTTCAGTACGTAAAGCAGTGGTTCTCAACCTTTTTAATGCCGCGAGCCCCAACTGGTCGTAAGTCGAGAACTACTCAACCGGTCATAAGTCGAGGACTACTCAACTGGTGCAGCACCGTTTGCAGAAGGGGACTTTTGGCGGGCTCAGCAGGGCAGAGACAGCCTGGACAATTCCTATTGGCTTTGGAAAGCCAATAGAATTAGAGTCTATTCAAGAGAGTCTGTTCTATTGGCTTTCAAAAGCCAATAGGATAAAAGGGAGTAACACAGCTAAGGAAAAGGGGGGAAAAAGGCGGACAGCCTTGTTTGGCGACCCCCGTGAAATGGTCGTTCGACCCCAAATGGGGTCCCGACCCACAGGTTGAGAACCACTGATGTAAAGGATAGCATTTATTGTTCTGGGACACAAACTCTCAGGTGTGGGTATGTGGTGGGTGCCGTCCTGCACAACATTTAAGCCATATCACACTTTCTTTCGGAAAAGTAAAAGCCGATCTGCCTTAACCGTTGGATGAAGCACCACCAGGTGATCCAAGGACCGTAAAGAATGGTTCACCACTTGCCTACCTTACTAGGAAGGCTGCATCTTTAACGGCACCACACAGGGTCTCCGGGAGGGAGGGGAAAGAAGCCCCTTCCTCTTTTGCCTCCCCATCCAATTTGGGGGAAAAACCCCTCCCTCGGAAAAAAGTCCGTCTGAGCTGCCCCTTAAAAAAAAAAAAAGGATGCGAGGAGGGGGTCCTGGTCATGGGGAGACCCTTCCCCAATGGCTTGGGGGTCCCTTCCTCACCTCCCCTGCCCAGAAACCCCCCCAAGGCAGGTGGGGAGGGGGCTTGTCTTTGCTCCCCCCTCCTCAAGGATGGGCCTTCCCTCCCCATTGGTGGCCTTCTCTTCCCAGCCACCCTGGGGGGGAGGGAGCTTTCCCACCCTCCCACGGGTGTGGGTTGACACATGCACGCACAGACACACACACACACACACACAGGCACAGACACACACACACAGGCACACAAACGCACGCTCTCCCTGGCAAGGGTTGGGTGCGTCAAGCGGGCAAAGAGGTTTTGCCCACCCTTCTCTGCCTGCCTGGTTTCCCCCCCCCCGCTGCTTCTTCCCCAGCCACCCCCTCCCACAATTACCCCCCTCTCACCCCCCCCTCCGTGCCCCCTCCCCTTTCCCTCCCCCTCCCTCCCTCCTCCCCCCCCCACTTTCTCCAGCCTTTGTTATGAGCATCCTTGTCTACTACGAGCATCCTTGACAGCTGGCTGGTGCGGGGATGATGGAGCCTTTAAGCCAACACGGCCTTCCTCGCCTCTCCTGGATCGACACCCTTTATGGCAGTAGGTGTTTTGGGTCTGGGGTCTTGGCTGGGGGAAGGAGGTATTGGGGAGGGGGAGAGGCGGAGAAGGAGAGAAACCCGGTGACGTTTTTTTTTGCCAGCCCTCAACGGTACCGACAGAAAGGCAGAGATCCCTCTGGGGGCGGGGGTGTCGCTGCTCCGCCAGGCGCCAAAGATGGTGGGATCTGCGCTTGAGTTTTCTTTTGGGGAGGGGGGCGCCTTGCACCCCCTTCCCTGACTTTCCACTTCTCCATTCAGCCCCGCTTGGGTCTCTTTTGGGGGGCGGGGAGGGGGGCTCCCACAAGGAAAGCCAGCCACGGATTTGTGTTTTGAAGTGATGTATGGTTGTTTTGCCCAAGCGCCAGAGATGGTGGGAAACGGGGTTGAGTTTTATTTTGGGGGGGGTGCAAAATTGCACCCCTTTCCTGCCCTCCTCTGCCTTTCTACCTCTCCGTTGGGCCCTTTTTTGGGGTGGGGGGGGCTCCCACAAGGAAAGCCAGCCACGGATTTGTGTTTTGAAGTGATGTATGGTTGTTTTGCCCAAGCGCCAGAGATGGTGGGAAACGGGGTTGAGTTTTATTTTTGGGGGGGGATGCAAAATTGTACCCCTTTCCTGCCCTCCCCTGCCTTTCTACCTCTCCGTTGGGCTCTTTTTGGGGGGTGGGGGGGCTCCCACAAGGAAAGCCAGGCACGGATTTTTGCTTTGGAGACAGACGGTTACGTAAACCCTCAAGCTGGTGGCAAAGCTGCCAGACTAAAAATGTGGGATTGAGGATGGGGAGGGGGGGTGTCGAGGAGGAGGGGGCTTCTAAGGAGACCTCTTCCAGATGTTTGCCTCCTCCTGTGTCCCCCCCCCACTGCCCCATCCTCTGGAATTGAGGGGGGACCCACCCACCCTTCCCAAATGCGGCTCGATTTGTTTTCAGCCTTTGAAATTCTCGGGAACTTTTTTGGGGAGACGGGTGGGGGCAGCGTGGCAGGAGGAGGGGGACCCAGTTTTTCTCATGGACCCCCCTTCATTTCCAGCCTGTCTTTCTGGAGTTCTCCTCTTGAACCCCCCCTTTCCCCCCCCCCTTGCAGGCAATCAACAGGCGTCTGGTGTTCCGAAAAACACATTTATGAAAAAGCTTGGCTGCAGCTTCCCTTTTAATAAATTGTGTTTTAATAAATTGTGCTTGTCGGAAATGGGGGGGGCGCCCAGATGCCCCCCACTACCACCATCCACAGCTCTCCCCCCTACTACCATACTTCTGTTTTCCAGGAGATTTGAGGAGGGGAGGCTTGCCTTAAAAGACCACCCACACTCAACCTCCTTCTGGACCAGATGTGATGGATGGCCCCCATTAGCCTTTGAATGGGAACCCTTATTTAATTGCTTAATTAATCCCGGCGGGCGACTCCTGTGGCCATTAAGAGGGTTGTTTAGCTTGCCTGGCTAAACCCCCGTGGCCTGACTTCACCCTGTTGTGCAAGTGTGCCCTGCACGTGGGAGGGTGGTGGTGGTGGTAGTGGTGGTGAATTGCGTTATGCCCATTTTACAGGAGAGAAGACCGAGGAGGGATAGAAATTGAGGCTGCCCCTGGCAAAGGCAAGGTTTTTTTTGGGGGGGGGGGTGAAACAACCAAGATGGCCTCCTTCTCCAAACTGACCCTTTCTTTAGGCTCCCATTCTCACAACACACCCTCCCTGGCGGTGGGATAGCTGGTTTGTGAGTTTTTGTGTGGCTTTCCTGGTGGTGATGGACCACAATTGACTGTGTGTTTGCCGTTGCGGATTGAATTGGGGTGGGTGGCGGGGGATCAGAAAGGGGCATTGTCTCTTTTGGGGTAAAGAGGATTCAAATGGTGCTAATAATAATAATAATAATAATAATAATAATAATAATAATAATAATAATAATAATACCATAAAGGCAATCAACACCTGGGCAATCCCAGTCATTAGATACACAGCTGGAATAGTGGACTGGACTCAAGCAGAACTAAAAGCAAGGGATAGGCAGACCAGAAAAATAATGACAATGAATCACGCCCTTCATCCACGCAGTGACATTGATAGACTTTATCTACCAAGGCAAATAGGTGGGCGTGGAATGCTACAAGTACATCAGATTGTTGAAGAAGAAAAAATGGCTTTGGAAGAATATCTGAAGAACAATGATGACGATGCACTGAAATTAGTATATCAGGAAGGCTTACTGACTACTGGAGAGACCAAACTGGCCTACAAGAAAGACCAAATGAAGAACAGAATAGAGGCATGGGAAGACAAAGCACTACATTGCCAATACATGAAAAAAATAGCTGGGAAAGCAGATAATAATAAAACCTGGCAATGGCTAAGAGCAGGAAAATTGAAGAAAGAGACCGAGGGATTAATTCTGGCTGCACAAGACCAAGCCTTAAGGACAACTGCATACAAAGTCAAAATTGAGAAGACAGCAACAGACAGTAAGTGCCGCCTATGCAAAGAAGCTGAAGAAACAGTGGACCACTTGTAAGCTGTTGCAAGAAGATTGCACAAACTGATTACAAGCAGCGGCATGACAAAGTAGCAACAATGGTGCATTGGAAGATCTGCAAAAAATATCATTTGCCTGTAAGCAAAAACTGTTGGGATCATAAAATAAAGAAAGTCATAGAAAATGATAAAATTAAACTGCTCTGGGACTTCAGAATTCAAACAGACAAGCACCTGCAACATAACACCCCAGACTTAACAATTGTCGATAAGAAAGACAAAAAAGTCTGGATAGTGGATGTGGCAGTGCCTGGAGATAGCAGAATAGAAGAGAAAGAACTGGAGAAGATAACAAAATACAAATACCTACAAATAGAAATAGAAAGACTGTGGCAAAAGTAAGCAAGGGTAGTACCAATAGTAATAGGCTCCTTGGGTGTAATCCCAAAACAACTGGAGCACCACTTGAACACCATTGGCATTGACAAATTTGCTATTAGTCAATTGCAAAAGGCGGCCTTACTAGGAACTGCTTCCATCCTGCGACGATATCTGTAATACCATCAAACATCCACATCTGCCTATCCCATGTCCTGGGTAAGGACTCGATAGGTAGACAAAATGACAAATCCAGTCTGAACATCTGGCTGACTGTGCGATGATCGATAATAATAATAATAATAATAATAATAATAATAAAGTTGGAAGGGACCTTGGAGGTCATCTAGTCCAACCCCCTGCTCAAGCAGGAAACCCTAGACCATTTCAGACAAATGGCTGTCCAGTCTCTTAATAATAAATAATAATACAGTTGGAAGGGACCTTGGAGGTCATCTAGTCCAACCCCCTGCTCAGGCAGGGAACCCAAGACCATTTCAGACAAATGGCTGTCCAGTCTCTTCTCAAAAATACCAGCGGTGCCTCTGAGCATGTGTAGAGGGCTCCCCTCCCTTAGAATGTCACTAGGGAAGGTGGCAGTGACGGTTTTTAATGAACTGTCTCTTGGTTACTCCTAAATTCAACTTAGGGGTGTCCTATTAATTTGTTTACACGTAATCCTGGATTTGCAATGCTTTGTTTAGTGACTGGGGGAAGCCTCACGTAACGACTGCATGATTCACTTAGCAATGGCAGTGATCTGCTCAATCCCTCCGGCTGAAAAAGGTCGTAAAATGGGGGCACAACTTGCTCAAATATCTGTCTAGCTTAGTTGCAGAAACGTTGGGCTCCATTTTCGTCGTAAGTCGAGGACGGCCTGCACTTGGAAAGCAAATGAAATCCAGGCTGTTGTCCTCCAAGCTTTTTCTCTTTCTCTAAAATCAAATGTTTTACCTCTGTCAAGGATAATTGGCTTGACTCACCGGCGGGAGAAATTTATAGGTAACACCATACGTACAGAACAGCACATCACCGCATAACAGAGCTGGAAGGGACCTTGGAGGTCATCTAGTCCAACCCCCTACTCAGGCAGGAAACCCTATACCATTTCAGACAAATGGCTGTCCAGTCTCTTCTTGAAAACCTCCAGTGTTGGAGCACCCACAACTTCTGGTGGCAAGCTGTTCCACTGGTTAATTGTTCGAACTATCAGGAAATTCCTTCTTAGTTCCAGGTTGCTTCTCTCCTTGGTTAGCTTCCACCCGTTGCTCCTTGTCCTGCCTTCAGGCGCTTTGGAGAAGAGCTTGACTCCTTCCTATGTAGTTTTTTTTTTTCCTGTCATTGCTTGTTAGGACTCCCTCTTCTTTGGGGCAGCCCCTGAGATACTGGAAGACTGCTATCCTGTCCCCCCTCGTCCTTCTCTTCCTTAAACTAGACATAACCAATTCCAGCAACCGTTCTTTGTTTATTTTAGCCTCCAGTCCCCTAATCATCTTTGTTGCTCTTCTCTGTACTCTTTCTAGAGTCTCAACATCTTTTTTACATCGTGGTGACCAAAACTGGACGCCGTATTCCAAGTGTGGCCTTACCAAGGCCTTGTAAAGTGGTATTAACACTTCACGTGATCTTGATTCTATCCCTCTGTTAATGCAGCCTAGCACTGTGTTGGCCTTTTTGGCAGCTGCAGCACACTGCTGGCTCCTATTTAAGGGACTGTCCACTAGGACTCCGAGATCCCTCTCACAGTTGCTACAATTGAGCAAGGTACCCCCTATACTATACCTGTACATTTGATTTTTCTTGCCTAAATGTAGAACCCTGCTTTTTTCACCACTGAATTTCATTTTGTTAGATAGCGCCCAGTGTTCAAGTCTGTCCAGATCCTCCTGTATCCTAAGCCTGTCTTCTGGAGTGTTGGCTGTTCCTGCCAGCGTGGTGTCGTCTGCAAATTTGATGAGTTCCCCATCTATCCCCTCGTCCAGATCGTTGATGAAGATGTTGAAGAGTACTGGGCCCAGAACAGAGCCCTGGGACACCCCACTACACACTTCCCTCCATGGAGATGTGGTTCCATTGAGGACCACACGCTGAATATGGCCAGTCAGCCAGCTACGGATCCATCTGGTGGTGATGCTGTCTAACCCACATTTTTCTATCTTGTCA